TCTATTCAGCCCTTGAGCCAGGCCCAAGAGGACGTGTTGATAAACTATTCGGACGGCTTTATCGCTAAAAGATAATTAAATTTCCACTTTATCGAAATGAAGTACCAGCGGAATAAGAAACTCGTTCTTCAGTAATAGCAAATAAGTTTTTCAGTCAGCGCCGGCGCCCCACTGATCAGATAACGAGTCGCCAACTTGCAACTACATTTCGAGTTCTTGATAATAATCTGTAGAAGACAGTTTAAATATTATTAGTCATAGTGATTTAATCTGTGGATGTCCAAGATGCTATAATGGGGTCTTTAAAATCTCATTAAGGTACCTACAATGCTTGTCTCAAATTAAACTTGTTTCTTGATTCCAATCGAAAAATGGATTGAGGTAAATATTGGAGGAATTGGGCTTTAATGTTTCCTGAAGCCTCCTGAAATAATTGTGAAAAGGCGGTAGTTATTTCAGCAGTGTTGACACGGCCCGCTATCAGATTGTGGGAGGAGGCGCTGCACTGGAGGCCCACCTCGATAAGAGGCTCACCGCGCGGCGGCCGCCTCCTGAATATTACTCATTGTTACATTTTATAAACGATGCACTTTATGCAACCACTGCCGCGACCGCTGCCAGCCAAACAGATAATGAAAATTAAAATGTCATTTTACTGTACACGAAAACGAACACAACCATGCAAGAAAAAACAGTAAACCTTTGATATTTTGATTTCACATTCAGTGTACTGAAATCAAATGTTTGTATGTAGGTGGTAATATTCGGAAAAGCTGGTCGGATTTCCAAAATTCATTTATTGATAGATAGCTACAATGTTCCTGAGTGCTATAGGCTATAACTTATACTTGATTTGCGAATTTTAATCGATCTAACGATTTAAACCCAACTGTTCCCTAAGATACATTAATTACTGTTACACGCGAGCGAAGCCGCAGGGAGAAGGTAGTTTTAAAATACAATACAAATTCTAAATAATTAACCGCTGTGACCATACTTCAAAAGTTAATTCATTATACCAGTCGTATCAGTAAGCACAGCGGCATCACATCGGTCGCACAATCACAATAATCCCCCAATTATTAGTGCATTCAATCTCGTATTGATTTATGAAGCACCAAATTAATCGTTTTAAGCGATCCTATCAATTAATAAACAACTGCGCCCGGTCACGCAATTAGTTCAATTACTGGTAATAGATCTTGCTTTCAATTGTTCGTATCGTAATGAATTGAAATGGTTTTAATCCGTGACTATTTCAAAGTTAAGAAACGTCTAATTAGCTTATGTGAAGTTTTAGATACTTCACTTAATTTTAATTCATCAAGCGAACGCCTGCTTTCGTGCATCTTATGTTCTTCTTGATTCACGATTAAAAGGTTAATAACATATCGTCAAAAGGCAAGATAAAATACCTAGTTATTACTCAATTTCACCACAAAACCAACTCAATTAAAGGTAATTACAATCCAATATAGTAACCGAATACGAGTGGCAGCAATACCACAAATTGTAGCGCGAGCCAGGCACATAAACACCAGGTTCTCAATGAGCTTTTATTGAAGTCAACCCGACCCGATTGTCGGTCTCGTTCTGTTTTTCAGCCCATTCAATGTTGAAAAACAAGCAAGAAGAAACTAAACTGGTTAACACACATGGACGGCTCTAATAGCTCTCTCCATTGTCGCTGGCTAACTGGGGCGCTGCACACCAGGATATTATGTGGGATGCGGCGAGGTAATAGTGTTGTGCTCAGCTCGGGACCGGCCCACAGACTGACCGTCGATAGCATTCAAATCGAACATTTATTTAAAATGTTGTTAGATTTTGCTAGTAATCGATGTTTTGTTTGAAACGAAATATTTTCAGACTGTTGGTGAATGTTACTTTGCAGTAAGTTGATATCGAATAGTGGCACAGGATGTAGGTCGCGTGCCGGAGATGCCTTTGTTCCGACTGCCGCTGTAAATTATCTACATTCCATTCTCCTTCATAACTCTGTATCGGAACAAACCGTATGTCTCACAATGAAACGGTAAAAAAATCTTTTTCTTTTTTTACACGACCGAAGCTTTATTAAATTTCTTTTAATTTTCCTCGCGCTACATAGCCTGCAAATAGCTAAGAATTACAATTAAATTGTTACAAAAATCATATCGATTCATTGCATTTCCCACAGTTTATATTAAAAGTAATTACCCAAGCTATAACAGGCTACTTAGGTAATGTAAGGTTGCCAGACCTTCTATTTTATATAAACAACTATTGTTATTAAAATAACAGAAACTAATTTTCAGCTATAAATATGCTATGTATTTGCTACCAATGTATGCAAACCACAGAATAATAAAGTTTTGTTTGACAAACCAGAACGTTCAAAACATTGTGTGTTATATTTTGTGGGCTATAAAAATATTTACTGCAGCCACAGGTGCGACGCGAAAAACCGCGATTCGGTATGACGGGAGGATATATTGCCTATGTGGCGTTGAATTACGGTACACGGCAGCCCAAACTGGTCTTAATTGTCAATTGCTTTTGTGCCGGGAGCAGCAGCCCATATATTAATCTGTTGGTGGGTGTGTTTCGTTTTGTTCCAAGAGTTAGTTAGTGAAGTGATCCGCAAACGGGTCGGTGCTCCATTTGGGTCATCTGGATCGGTGTTACCGGGACACGAGCTGCTGGGGTCGAGCGCACTCGTCCACTCGCAATATACGACTAGTTCTAATAAAGTGTCCTTCAATCTACGTTTAGTTCGAGTAACGCTCGTACCAGATCCAGGCTTATGACAGCTTCGAGGATTTACGATCACTTCCTCTGCGGTTATCATTTGAATTTAGGGCGTTGATCTCACATACGACGGTGTAAAGTTGCGATGAATTTTCATATATGCTAAAATATGTACATATCTTACACGTAGGATGTAAACAATCATGTTTCTTTTTGTTTATAAAGAAGTTTCGTTTTGTGCAAGAAAAGAAGCAAACAATTCCTTAAAACTGAATAAAATTCTTACCTTCATTTGTTTCAGGTATCTGGAATGATCCAAACTAAAAGACAACACATCAGACCCCCCGATCGGATGTCTAGGTGAGTCAACATTTAGTATTTTCTCACATAAATGCTTATTACGCCATGATACAAACAACTTTATAGGTAGAATAAGCTTTTCTGCGCGATCATTTTACAATAGAAACATAATATAGTGCAGGTGATATTGAGTGTGAAACGAAATCAGTCGGGTCTGCTAACCCGAGTCAGTCGTAAGCATAAACAGTAACTCGAGCAAAATAAAATGGATAAAGTTTAAAGGTACGCTTATCAGTTGCCACAGTTTCGAGATACGGTATCAGAAAGGAGAAGGGGCGCGGACGGTTGCGCCGGCCCTCGACACTCACTGAACACGCATTTGCATAAGATTTTTGCAATTTTATTCCGCATACAAAAACAGAATCAGCATTTTACGACTTACTTATGCCTTTATACATAAGAACTTTTATTTTTTCGTTTCATATTGCTAGTTTTATGTATCTCCCAGCGAAATAGAATACGCTTCGCGACAACATGTTTCGTTATCGACAAAATTCGAAGTTTATATTACCACCCGAAACTAGCACAGTAATAAAGTGAACCATAAAATAAGTAATAACGAAAACAGCAGCCGATAATATTCGTTTTAATATTTCGTGTTAGGAAAATTGGATTAAATATTTTGAAATTGAAAATGATAATGCCACATGTTACCTAATTATGTCAATTTCTGTTAAACTATAAACTCTGCGGATAGGAAAATTTGATCGGATATTCTCTAGAAATTGTAGATTTACATCCAGAAACTGTTATGAAATCATTACTAGGCAATATAGAGGCAATTGGAAAACAATTTCCGTGTCAGCCACAGCGTAGCTTCTCATGTGAACACGTCGCGGCGTCTCTTTGCTTATACACCTCGCCGCCTTACTGGCACAGCCGACACAGGCCGACACAGGCCGGCGAAACTCCACTGTGTTTATATAGTTACGTGTTCAATCACAATCTCGTGATGCCAATACAATTTACGACGTACGCTACGTCGACAAGTGCAACCGGGCTAATGGCGGCATCGCGTGCTCTTCCGAATTATCACTCGCGTTATACGCTATATTACATGACAAAGTGAAAGCTCACCACTAATATCGCTTGTAATCCACTTAAAAGTTCACAATGTTGCCCCTTCGTAGGTTACTTCGAACAGGCATGCTAACTTTGTGAATGAACGGTCGAATACATTTAGCAACGTGTAACATGACACAGGCAGGTAATGTCATTGAAACTATTTTTAATTAAACAAAACAAAACATTAAAAACAAAGTAACTTTAGTGTCTAATAAAAATATTATTTAAATGACAAGGTATCCTAAAATAATACAATGTTTATCTCACTCAGATGAAAATATTAATTTTGTAAATGAAGTGTATGTGTTCTTCAACATTTAACAGAAGGCGGTAAACGACTTACATTACACCGGTTCCCCCGAATATATGGCTGTCAATGGTGAACACTTATGAGGACGACGAGCGAAATGGCCAGATTAAGGAAGAAACACGTTGTGTTATCTATTTTCATCCCTCCTGCTTAAGTTAATTCTATTATAAAAATATGAGCAAGGTAAAAGCATGACATTGTGGTATATACTCTTTAGAAAATATCTAAAATAAGCTGGTATTACGAAATAATTCTCAGTGACAACCTACACTATGGGTAATGCCTTATTAGCAATAATCACAATACATTAGTAAGTAATTGATTATCCCTCGGAGGAAAACTCGTTAAATATGTACATCGATAAATATAAATAAGGTAATTACAGTGTCGACAGTTTGTCTAAGAAAACTGGCAACTATTTCCCTCGGTTCGCTTCGCAGTGAAGCAGCTCATAAATCCAGGCCCGCTCATTGTGTACCTATCGCAGTTGATGTCGCAATTTAGAAGCTTTGCAACAAGCGCCGGCGCTGAAATAATGTCGACTGGCCATCAATCTAGTTCTTTGCCAAATAGATCGCTGATTAAATTGTTAAATTACTGCATTAAATCCTCCACGGAGTTGTCAAGCAGACATTACATTGATTCGAAGTTTATCTGGCTCAAGGTGACATACTGTTTCCGTTTTCATTGTGGAAATATTTATAGAGTTACTTACAAAGAAACTGTAGCAATTTAAACCCTGAAATTTTAATGTAACGTTTTATTTTATTTGTTAAAATAATAAACCAGCGCTCTTTAAATTTCCAAATACAGAGTAGGTACTTCTAGACTTGTCTCGTTGCAAAATATAAGAAGTAATGTTTTAAGTTTAAGCCAGTTAAAATATAGGTACCTATGGGGTAATTCGTAATCGGCAAAATAAATAAGGAGGTCCATAAATATTGTCAAAATGTTAAACCGAAATACAAAATATGAAAGGAATATTGTCGGTTGAACCGAAATCCTCGTAACGGTGCGGAGGAACAAAATACATTATTTATGTAGACAAATATTAAATTGAGAGAACGGATGGCCGGCATAATTTGGTCTATCATCCGACTAATAATAAATTAAGAAGAGCCTAAACTGTATTTAGTGAGCGTAAAGACGCGGAAAAGGCTCGAGAACGACTTGACGTTAATGGATGGTACGTTTTTTTTCAGGGCGTGGGCGTGAGATGGCACGAGCGGGCATGCTGCACAGGGGCGGAAAAAATGGAGCCGAGTGAGTATTATCCCGAACTACTCGTATTAACTGATCATTTTTCACATCACACCATACGTAGAAACTTCACTCTAGTTACAAGTTTTATGCATAACATAGGTGATGTAGTCGTCAACATGTAGGAAATCGGTTTTTCCTTTTTGTTTCGACTATTGCGTTTGATACAAATTCGTAATGAAGCTACACTTTAGCAAGAATACACTTCAGCGCTATGGCTGACCGCTCGTCAGAGTATAGTATAATTGTATAGTCACGTTAAAGTTCCATCACCGTCATATCAAGCCCATTCGTTTGTTTAGCTAATGGCGCACTTCATATTGTCCCCATACGGTTACTTAATTCTTCGCAATTGTCGGCCTACATCCGACTTTCTCTGCCAGACATGATTTGGCACTTAACGTAATTGACACAAGTTATAACATTCTTACTAAGTTCTGACATGTTGACTACATTTACATTTAAGACGCTTCTTGCTGTAACCTACGAATGTTCACCTCCGAGTCTGTTTGTTTATATCGTGACACGTGTCATGAAGGGTTTATTTTATACTGACTATAAATAGAACGGCATAAATATACATAAAGTAAGAGAGGAGCTCGCACGATTGCCCTTATCACAAAGTACTTAAGGGCGTGGCGGTAAGGGCGGCGGTAGGGTACGCTCGGGCGGGCGGCAGGTGCAGGCCTGATAGAGCAATTACTTATTTTAATATTTTTAATGCCGGTCTCCGGAGGCATGCCGAGCTTTTCAGTGTCTGATAAAGTTGTTGTTATTATTCAAGGCCACAAGAAACACCTCGTCAAAATTATCTTCCAAATCTAATGGCAACAGCTGACAATACACAGTGACATTTTGTGGATTGCTGCTATATGACTTTAGATTAGATTTTTTTGTTTATTATTGTTTCGTTGGCTGCTCTATAAAAGCATCAACAAAATAATTGGATTGAATCGCGTTCGTTAGAACTATAAAGCCCGTTTGATATTATTACTCGTTACCATCTTACAGGATCTCAAACAAAAAGCATTTCTGTAGCAGACACATAATTACGTTCATGGATGTTACAAATCGATAGATAAGTTACAAATCCCGTAGTCGAGAACAATAGTAAATAACTTGGTTAGCAATGCACGCTGAGGCGAAGCGGCGCGGTACGGCTCGGGTACGGTGCGGGCGCGGCGCAGTCGCTATCCGTCTTGTCGCCTCAAGTCGAAGTTCGCAGACGGGTCCCCGGTGAATATTCCCCACGCTCCTTTGATGTGGTTCACGTTAATTAGGGATTTTAGTATTGCGATACCCGGGTAGGCAGACGATGTTTTATTAACGAACTAAAATATCCAGCCATCCGCCGCCATCAACCTCTGACTCGATATTTCGTTGTGATAAGTTGTTATGCGGATGTAATGTATTCGGATAGTCTAGTTATTTAGTTTGCAACGTTTTGGAGCGTGCAATGTTACAGGGTAACTGCAGTGGGACCGCCGCCCGTTAAGTTACTTACCCTTGGTTTCGGCGCAACTTTATCAATGCCAGAGAACACTGGCGGACCTGATGTCCGGTGCTGCCCCCTCTCGCTAACTGTTCCCGCCTCCCCAACATTTTCTCACCTCAGTTCGTACTCATCCCAGACTAAGTTTAAATTGTTAGCTGCAACTTTGCTTCCCAGTTGCCTGAACTTTATTTGTACATTGCATACCTTTCCAACTTTTGATGACAATTTTCAGAAATAACTGTTATTAAAATGAAAGCTTTTTATACCGCAACTTAATTCCATTCGTGTTATTGGCTGTTCGTTCTGAAAATAAATGTAGGTTTCTATACATTTATCATAGCTGTGTAGGAACATTGAACAAAATTGCTCTGAAATACTTACCTACTAAGTAAGTATTTGTTTATTTATACGTTAGAAATTCAACGAGATTTATACAATTAAATTAAATTAGTTATCAGCTTTGCGCGTGGTTTCGCGTAGCGGAATGGAAACCAATTTATCAATCAACTAGCGCGTCAGAAAATATTCCTTTAGCGATTTCTTATACTTATATACGTTAGTAGTTGTACGTGCGTTGTTTTCATAAGCTACAAAGGAGTTTTGCACATATTGTTTCACGATACGGGATACGGTGGGCAACCTGAACTAGCACGGCGCGCGGCTTCGCAATATTTGACTTGATCTCGCCGGTGATCAGTCACGCACGAGACCCACGCCTCCTTGCGCCTTATAATAACACGTTGCTCCCAACTACCAACCCAACGATGTAAAAGCCAGCGTTATTTTCACAGCTTTTATGGCGCTATAAATGTTATATTACACGTAATGACTTTATCGAAATTTCAACACATTTTAAGGTGTTAAGCAGGCCTATAAGATTACGATATTGTAGTATGAGTTCGCGTAAGAATTTCAGAGATTTTTTCTGTGATATCGATATTTAAAGATTCCTTTTAAAGCGTCGATGTGAAGAATTTTTTTTATCCATAGCTTATCAATCTATACCGCCCAGGTACCGCAACACCGAAGAAGGTTAAGGTTTAAGGATTTAAGGAAATGTATCATTGGGGCTTGTGGACTGGAGATTAGAGACGGTACTGCTTAATAGGAGGCGGAATAGATTTGAAACAAACCTGTTGTACAAATCCCAAAAGAATCTATTTATTATTTATTCAAATTCATGAAACATATTTACAGCTGTTATTTATTCAAATTCAATAAATATATTTACAGCTGAAAGTTTAATACGATGTACATATTGTGAGTGAGACAACGGGCTTGTAATAAATCAGTACCTCACTTCTACACTGCGAGGAAATAGCTCATAAGTTTGATTAGCCTCTTCGTCGTGCAAGGTTTTACCTTCACCGTTCAATTGTAGGTCAATGCGGCATTCAAATACCTGCATTGTTCGCAAACCATACAAGATACACACACATACATAGATTGCACAAATTGTCCGAACAATAGAATATGCAAACATTTAATTTCAAACCCTCCGTGGCTAATGAAGAACGAAACTACATATGTATGTAATTATACTTGTAGATGTAATCACTTTTTACAACCGTGGCTGCTATTCATTTAGCTTAATGGGAGATTAACAAAGCTCCACCTTACCCAATATTCAGGTGTACTTTTTTAAACAAGCAAATAGTATCTTATAGCTAGATTAACAGCCATAGAAATAGACCCTAAAGATGAAAAGCCTACAATGTCAAATGTAATAGTAAATAGGAACCTCTACATAGACTTTCGGCCTGTTCACATACAAACACACACATACTATCTCTATAGATTTTTCTTTGTCCGAAAGTGTATGGAGATTTCTTTACCCGTATTCTTATTTGTTTACATTCCAATGAAGCCCAGAGATTGTTCTTTTTATGGGCCACTCTAACAGGAGAGGATTCTTAAAGGGAACCGCATTATAGATTACTTTTACTGGTCGTTTAGAAGTGGGTCAGTGTCCCGTAAAAGTTTCCGCGAATGTGGTCCGCTAGCCGCATTACCGCAGCAGATCAAAGCTGCCTGCTCTCCACACGATGACCCTTCAATCCACGAGACTCTCTAAAAATCATGCGTTTGTTTTATTATCCCCTCGCCTCACAGTGACATATCTGTATCCGTTCAAGTTTACAATATAAAGTCAGTGTTTGAAACACACGTTATATCATCTCCGTTCATTCTCTTTTATTAGAGTTGCACACCAGGTTCTAAACGATAGAACACCTAATTATTTTCAGAGCTTACCCAAACGTACAGCGGGGGGCGCGCGGTGCGGGGATGTGATATCTCGCGCGCCGTACCTACCTTGTCTAGACGGCAGCATCATGTAAATAAATATGTAAACATTAGGACACATTCGAATTTCGACCGACCAACACTAAGTGCATAATTAACACTTTAATTAGTAACTCAAAGGGTCACTGTCATTACTTACCTGAATTAGTATTCTCTACGGGTCTTGCACCCTCGAAGGACAACGAAAAACTAATTTTGATAAATGCAATTAAGAGTAATTGAGTTGGATGGCTCATAATGTTGTTGATTAATTTAAACTGGTACCTTGATGCACGAAGCGCGCGCCTACTAAACAAGCCTTTGATATGTATTTATTTACAAAACGCTACCAGGAAAGTGATGGATATCTGTCATCTCGGCGAGACGGAGCCGCTCGCGAGGTTCACGCCGCGCGATGCAAATTCTGTCGAGTCACCCGGAAAGCAATTACCGAGTCTAAGCGCCCGCTCGTTCTTCAGCACTGCTTACCATAAATCAATGGGAACGTAGATACACAGCGACACGAGTATGTTATATCAAGACGTTCCACGGGTCTATACACACACTACCAAGCTTTCATATCTTAGTTCCAACCGTATAATGAATAGCCGAGACCGTTATTTTATAATATATTAATTGTTTTAGATTTTTTTCTAGGATTTGTCTCGAATTTTGATATTCTCTGTTCACTGTTTCTAAAAAAATGAGCGAATGTATCACTCGACGTTCTCAACATACACTGAAACGGTAGTTAAAAGTTTAAAAAAAAACAAATGCAGTTACAATTTAGGCACTGTAACGTCTTATTGTACTTAATTAAAATAAAGAGACAGCTCCCAAAGCCAGATATAGTGTGTGAACTTTAAACCAGACTAACATACTGGCATAACTAGTTCCATAGATTGACCTTTGTTTTCATTAAGCTGCGTAGGCGTGATGATTAAGCTGATTTGCCTTTTATAACAAGATGATATTACATAAAAGAACTTGCCATAGAGAGACTCTAATGTGTTTATAATGAATAGTATTTAGTAAGGCCCAAGTCTGATATAAAAGATTCTAGTTGCGTATAAGTACAGGTTGGTCCATTCTGTCCCAGCGGAGACACATGTGTGCTAACAAATTCTTTTGCCTTGGCAAGTGTCCTCGGCCAATGTTCCCAATATTGTGACAAAAGTAAATAAATACACGCACAGAACCCATTTCAACAATTTGCTTAGGATTCCGTAGGTATTTCTCCCGTGATCGCCGCCTTTTTCGGAAGTCCGGCTAATATTGAACGAACATTTTTCTGCGAACAAATAAGATGAACTACCCACATCGCAGTTATAGAAGGTATTTTAGATTATATGAAAGTATAATTTTTCTTTTGCATTTTTACTATATCTACCAATAACCGAAAATTTGCTGTTCCACCGCATGTTTGAATGAACTAATTCTTTTACCTGAAGAAATTTATGACAGCAGACATGATAGAGGTTGCAAAACTCAGTGATGTTGATTACTGGATTCAAGTTGGTTCTGTCCGAGTCATTATCATTTTATACGCCATTGTTCTTTTATTATCATATCGTAACACTGTTAAGGTTACAGACAAACGTAAAGTGTATATTATACAACATGTTTAGTTAAAAGGTTTTTCATGATGTCTTGAAGTACCTATACTTATCCAGAGTTTGACTTAAGCATAGTGTCAAAGTTTTATTTTACACGTTTCCATTGTTATCGTCGCGTGATTTTTTTGAATTTGAACTTTTAAGTTTTCAGCGGACAAGCATGTTATTAATATATTTAAAATGAGTGCTTAAATGGTCTTATAGATGTAGGAAAACAAACGTGTGATGGACTCAACACTCATAAACTCGGTACAGACTAGCAGCTGGTTATACCATTACGAGTGATTCGATTTACTCCGAGTTCAGCCTGCAGCAGTAACTCCGGCAATCCCACAAAATCAATTAACACGTGGCTAGATGTCGACTGAGAATATTTCAATCCAAAATGGCGCATAAAATCTGTAATTGCCCGGAATCACAGTTTCCGAACGTTTTCGATTTCGCAGATTACACCTACGTACGTGTGTCTATGTAAAACCGATTTCCGATGTACGTTAGCGATTCACGTTTCCATTTACCGGTATTAATAAATAATAAAAATACGGGAGATAGATATATTTTAAGGTTATTTCTTTATTTATTGGCTCAAATAAAACTTCAATTGTTTTAACCCCTGTATACATAAGCGACACAATATTGTGTCTCATCTGGCAGACGACAGGTTAAAGAATATATAAAAATATGCACAAAAATTTGAATTTTCTTTATAAACTATCTTCAAACTAAACTAGAACCATGTTAAATCACCGAGACATAGCCAGATTACTTCTGAACCGTAGGGATTACCATTCCGTTGACAATGTGATTTAGCTACAATATCCTCAACATCAGGTAGAAGCTTTGAAGAATGGCTAGGATTATAAAATCTAAGTCAAAGTCCTTGGGTATCTACGATAGTATACCTAGTGAACTGGTAATAAAAGCGGAATTCCAATAAATAATAGAATGATACCTACCTACTTATCTAAGCAATACTTATTTCCATATTTCGTTTATTGAACAGTCAGAATTACAGCACACTAAGAAATCCTATATTTGTATTACAAGAAAAGGACAATTCGAGTGCGTACAAATCCAAATATTCGACATCTTCGAACGTTCAGTCAATTTGCTTAGGACTTCTGTTGCTCATTGATGGAGAATGTTCCTCTTTCCATTTTACTTTCTCAATACACTCGATATTTGCTTACGATTCGAGATTTACAAGTAAGTATATATGCCAAATTAAAGCCCTACTACGTCTAACAAGTATTTCCTTTTTCGACAAAAAGTATAAAATACTTATATAAAATTCTAAATCTATTTAATCTCACTGCGAATATCAACAATGTATTTTAATCAAATAAGAAGTAATTCCTAATTACACAAACAATGGCGAAAAAGATCGAAAGCAAGAAGCGAAGCGATAACATCTGAAACGCCTTATATTTCACATAGAGCAACAATTCCCTTCATAGAAACATTCTCTTCGGTCCAAACAGTGTGTTGTTTTCAACAAACGATGTTTGAATGTTGGTACCAGCACCCACATACTATTTAGTTATAGTTGTTATGGGCTCTAGCCACGCCCCACGCATGTTTTAGGGTGCGTTATGATTTAGTAGCCACTTCCTTTAATCAGTGAAAGTGTTGTAGCACAGATAAGACGACCCAACCCGACCTACAACACACCATTACTTAGTATATACTTACCATATTTTTGTTCCAATTACACACCTTACCTTTATAAAAAAAACGAATTCAAAAAGCAAAACATTGAAACAATGAAACAATGAAACAATGAAACAATGAATTTATTTTTGCAAATAGGCCATAAAACGGCACTTTTACACGTCAATTTATATGTGAAAAACTAGATGAAGCCGGCCCATTATTTTGTTAATTTATAAATTTGGAGACGAATAATTAGTTCATAAATGACGAAGTAATCTGTGAACAAACATAAAAAAGCATATACGGTCGAATTAAGAAACCTACTCCTTTTGGAAATCGATTAAAAATATACATACACCGACTACATACCATGGAAGATTATTATTAGAGAAATTTAAATAATTAATCAATATCAGATACAATTACCTGGCGCAGATTTATTAAATAGAAAATTGTGTCACGACAACAATATTCGCTGTGATCAGTTTCACATGCATGAGCTAAATCTATTAAAGCTGTATTAGGTACGTCAACGATGCGAGTCTAGGCACCCCATCCACCTGTCAATTTCCATAATGGAACGATGTCGGCCTTCCGCTGACCAGCTGTTATTATGCCATAGGCTGTGTAAACCCATTGTTCTCCAACTCGATAAAATCATTTCGCAAACGCAGACAAACTGCCCGTGTACACCAAGCTAAATAGATCAATACAAATTAATTGGCTGCACTTTATACCTGATTGGTTAATGAACTAGACGTTTTATTATTCTGCAGCAGACAGAAAAAGAAATTAAAAGAGAGAGTGTATCTTAATTGTCATGCCGCGCTTACCTTCGGGGCTTATTCAGGGAAATAGTTAATCCCAAGCGATACTACACTGCGCTTCTAGAGAGCTTGCATTTTGCTGATTGCATAAGCATTGTTTGCGGGATTTTAACGTATCTAGTAACTGTATAATTAATGCTTTGATCTTTCTTTTCTTATTATTTACGAATTGATTAAAGTAAATACCACATGTTGCGGTTTAATCGTATCAATATTGTATGCTCACTTATATGTATACAAATTTGGAAATTAAAGAATGAAATAATATTTGAATAGTTTATGTTACCAAAATAGAGAAGTGTTGAAATGAATCTTCACGAAACCAATAGATGTTGCGATAGCCAACAAAATTCTTTTAATAATTTCATGATAACAAAGTTACGAAAGGCTTAACGGAATGGATTTGGAAAGTTATGCAGTTGGGAAGGTCGGGGCGCTGCTGCCTGGTGGCGGACGAAAGTGAAGGTCCCTCCCCAACTGCCTCCCCACGCACCCCAGTAGGTGCAATCCCGAGGAGCCGCAGACGTCGGGGAAAGTACTCGGAGGAAACTTTTACATAATACTGTTACGAGAAAATTACGGATTATGATAGTCGGGAATACTTTACTTTCCCGGTTTCTTTTTTAAATAATGCATCACTATGATATAGCAATCAGCAGAGCAAAAGTTCTGAGAGAATCTAAATACCATTTTAAATTCCTGTTATCAATGTCAAAAAAGTGTCCACGATTTCAAAATAAACCTTTCAAAGGGCATCGAGTGCGTCTGATTTCTTCATAGTACCAACTGAATCTGATATATAACGCGTCTATAACTTGAAGGTCATTTGAAAGGCACAGACAAACTCTTGTGAAAATGACTTTTCTTGTAAAATAAGTTACCCATCCATTAGATATCATACAAACACAGGCACTTGATGTCAGTAATGCTTCTTTTGGCACTTCAGACATTAGAGAAACTTACAAAAGCAAACATTCTCTCATTCTACTCGAGTGTCATATAAAAATAATAACATTTTCTTCACTGTTGAGAACAAACAACTCGCAAAAAATAATAATAAAAGCCGAGTTCGATATTTGTGATGTGAGACGTTGCTCATCTTCATAACATCATTAGTGGCTTAGCAGTTTACAGATAAGTTAAAATGAATGAAACATTTTTCATTTATTGCGTGTATTTTAAGTAAGTTACGCACGTAAGAGCTGCCGTACAGTTGCGGCGTAATTTAAGCTCTCTCACTAACGAGCAGGCACTCAAGTGAAGCCGCTCCCGCACAGCATTCCTCCAGACTACATGATATTGTGAGATTTGTAAGCGCATTGTTTATGTTGCGTGTATAACACCGAGCTAAGCTGTACGCAGTTCCGTTTCCACCTCACCCTCCCGGACCCGACACAGGTTGTCATGTCGCGTCACTCTTGTTGTAGTATTCTAAGTTTACAAATAGTCATTTACTTACGTAGATATCTAAAGTCGATTTTAAACTAATTTACAATAAGTTTTAAGTAGTTTTAGAATAGTCTGGGGTTACATTACAATACTTTTATGAGGAAAGAGATGGTAAATATACATATTTAAGTGTTACCTAAATGTTACTTACCTAAACATATTCAACCATATCATTATACTTAAGGAAAGCTTTAGGCCCACAACCGCAGGATGATTTTATGCACACACATTAATTCTTTGTTGCTATCCAGAACAAGATAGCGCTGAATAGAACACGTTATTTATAGCCACTTAAGCCATTGTTGTTATGCACATAAACAGCTAATGTTCATCTCAAATGCTTTTTATGAATGGATGTGGTAGTGATGTTAGGAAACAACGGCGCGTCGGTAGTACGTCGGCCGTCGGCGTCACTCCACGCTCCTAGCTAATTACTGGGGAGGCGACGGAGCGCGCTCTCACAACACGCTGCAGCCTACAACTACACACGAACGCACAAAACTACCCCACTCCAAACAAACCACTTATATTTAATTGTCTGTCAACTGTCACTGGTTTAAACTTTATTAAAGTTGTTCCCAAAGTCGTCGACGCTGTCAGATCATAGTGCCATTACGTATTTCGCGACAATGTAGAGGACAGGCGGACGCGCCACCGTTAACAAGTTTAGAGGTCGTTACCGCGGCTGTGCGACTTTCCATTAGCACCTGACCGTCACAGCAAGTGTGATTAATGTCATTTATCTGCTTGATAGCGGTAATTACACTCTCGAGACATGCTGGTGGATTCGAGTTGAGTTAGAGATGTAGTCTTCGGAGCCTGCACTTCCTGTACGTACTTACATACACAACTTCTTATGGATTATGTTAGCGTGTTGTTTTAATTCTTTATTATAATACAATTGCGTAAAGCATATTCTTTTTGCTAACGTAACGCCATCTGTTATTGAATCTGACAGTTTGAATATTCAGATATTAAATTTTTATCAAGTGTTTTGTATTATTCTCAACCCACCACTCGATTAAACACGAGAATGGTTCTTTAATGCTAAAATAACATTTCGATATCGATCAACCATTTATTTTGTGATGGTTTTAATTAAAACTAATTACAGGGGCTTATCGTTCCAATGGTTCGGCGGGAATCTTGGCCCCGAATGGTAGCTAGGGGAGAAATTGGCATTTTGCGATGTCTTCCCCCGTCCGTCCCCTTTGCACGCAGATAATTAACTGCAGATAGGTACCGAGAACCCGCACAGCCGCGGCGCAAGGGTACAGCATCAAATTTTACCCACAAGTTTTAAAGAGCCGTACCTCGACTTGGGGTGGGTCGAGTGCACCGCGCCGTCGGCTGATGGGGTTCAACAATTTGTTGGGGTGACTAGGTAAGCGACCGTGATTATATTGATTTTTAAAATGACATCTCTTTTAACCCTTCAGTTTGTGGTTTAAGTGATTTCTATTACAACAAAAAACTTAGAATGTTTCGCAAGTGTCTACCTCGACTGATGCGTCATCACTATGAAATTGGATTTGTAATGGTTTACAAAATCCAAATATTTCATTTTGTTTAGAAATTCTATACTGTATTTCTTGGACAAACGGACAAGTTCTCATTCAAAAAGATCAATGGATTTTGCAAGTTAAATATCTATTCATATTTAAATTTCATCAGGATAATCTCTTTGATGTGGTTCCCTATGCTACTTATTTGCATGTTTATACCGTTTTGTTAATGTTTTGTTTAAAGTGGAATGCCGAGAGTGGGGCCGAGGTATCCATTGATAGATGTTGCTGCAACCCCTGTATTGTTTGTGGAGTTAACGTAATAGTGGTGCCAGACGTATAAATCACGCGGCTAATGCTGCAGCATCCGGCGCGTCTCCGCTTATTGTGCAGCCGTGGCGACATTTGCTTATGTTCGCAAGCCGCCAAACGCCAGCTCGGTACCTCGCGCCAGTCACCCTCGCACTGCCGTAGCAGTCATCGGAGGGCGGCGACAATTTATTAATTCGTAAAAATTACTTTCCTGTGCTTTTTTGCTTTGTTTACACAGTTGACGACAGGATGATTGTGTTACAAAGTCTTATAAACATTTTAATAATATCTATTATTTTAATTAAAGATAGGTAGTAGGTAGGTCTTTCCTAAACATTCAAAATGAAATTCAAGAAAGTCCTAATAAAATAGCATTATAAAACAACTTGTTCTAAGTTCCTTTAAAATTGAGTCGTCATGGCGTGGTTAATTGTTGTTGCTAATTAATAATTAACCACTTTTCCTTGATGACAACCGTAGGTAATATGATTAACTGTGGCTGAAGTGATGATTTCAACTGTCACTATGATATGCTGCGTTGATAATTAAATTATTGTATCATATGCCACTTATCTATAAGTAAAGTTACTTTTTCTTATACTTACTAGTAAAGAAATACATATATTCCTACATATCTTAATTGTCAGCTGTTTATCTAACTTGTTTTACATACATGTGATAAGGAGATTTACTTTTTCATTTCCATAGTTTCCTAAGAAAAAATCGACAAAAAATGTAGACACTCCATTTTGAAAGTAAAACAGTAATCAGATAAACGCGATGCGACAAAGAATGAGAAATGTTTATTGGGCACAACTCCCCTTGTTACACTTCATATCAAAAGTTTAACGAATATCTTGCGTAACAGCAAACATAAAGAGTAACTCGCAAACTTCTCAAATTGTGAGAATTGCGCATCCTTTTTATGAATCTGGGGGGCTGCGTCTGTATTTATGAAGCGTGGAACCCTCGATTGTATTATTGCCATCATTCCCTGCGCGCCATTTGCAAACAGCCTTATACATTCACAACTAAAAAGGTTTAAATATAACATTTTAGGTGTAAAATATGCCATAAAACAATTATCTCTCCTACTTAAGAAAATTACACAGTTTGTGCTATGTTAAGTTTATGATCCTGCAACTCCACACAAAGTTATAATCAGAATAATTATGCGAAATCGTCGCTATATAAAAACCCACATGATCATCCGCACGTATTCAAATTAGTCTAGATAGTTGTGGCGTAATCCATAAAGTTTGCCGATTTACAAATGCGAACGAGTTGGTACTAGAGTTGTGTGAACAAAAAGTATAGTTTTTCATTGGCGCGTCGTCGTCCGTCTGGCCGCAGCCAAAAATCGATAGTCGGAGCTGCAGTTCTCCAGACACAATCTTACTGGCCTGTCTCAACTTGACTAATGTTTTCTTTACCTTCGCGTACTTTGGCTACTCTTCTGCTGGTCAATATTAACTTTCTAAACAATTATAGAGATCGTAGTAAAACTTTGACCACATTCAACACCTTTGTTTTCAATGCTAAAACCACAGCTAAAACGAATCGCTGCGCTTGTTTGAATTTCGAACTTACAAATGTATGAAGATTGCCCAGCGCTATTGAAACTCTTTTGTTTGATTTTGCTATGAACTTATTTGTCTACGGTCAAATGTATCATTCTGTTAGACTTTATACAGTTCAACATAGTGTAAAATTGTCTATATACCCACAAATATACGTACTAACATATGTTGTAAATCATTATAACTATACGTAGTGTAGTTCGGCAGAACTCAGAACTGTCAGTGCCAGAACGCATTGTCAATTTAATGTGAAATAGACCGTTTTAATAATATTATGCAACCAATACGCTACTTAAAAAATACTCACAACAAATAGTTAAAAACATTCTCATGTGAAATTTACAAACCTATCACTTCATAAACAGACAGACCTATACCTAGCTTCTTACATATTAAGGTTGCGTATATATTTCTGAAAAAAAAAATAAGTAAATGTCTGATGTACATATCAAGAATTTTGTTATTAAAATCTATAAGTATCTGTGTAAATAATGCTATTACGAAGGTTCATAACTGGTTTACAGTTAATAATTTAGTTCTAAACGACAAAAAGACAAAGTGTATACGATTCAGTTTACCAAATGTAAAAAGTAACGAATGTGACATATTATTAAACGGCAAGAAATTGGAATTTGTAAAACAGACTACTTTTCTGGGTATAACCATAGATGAAAAACTACAATGGGGGCCCCATATCACATCTCTGGCAGGACGGTTGAGTTCTGCAGCATTTGCTGTCTGGAAGATCCGACAGCTAACAGATGTGGACACTGCAAGACTGGTGTACTTCAGCTACTTTCATAGCATTATGTCGTATGGCATCTTGTTGTGGGGACAGGCTGCTGACATTGAGTCTATATTTGTCTTGCAAAAGCGTGCAATCAGAGCAATTTACAACCTAAGGCTTCGCGAATCTCTTAGAGATAAATTTAAAGAGATCAATATTATGACTGTGCCCGGTCAGTTTATTTATGAAAATATAATGTATGTTAGGAAACACTTAATATTATTTGATAAGGTATCAGACAGACATAATTACCAAACTAGACATAGAGATAGATTGTGTCAGCCATTATTTAGATTGGCAAAGGTACACAAGTCGTTCATGGGATTCAGCGTTAAGTGTTATAACAAAATCCCAGGCGAAATACAACAATTAAATGAAAGAAATTTTAAATTATGTATAAAGAAAACTTTGTGTAAAAAAGCATATTACAAACTGAGTGATTATATTGAGGATAAGGATGCTTGGAGACGGGCTGGTCCTGCTCCACAGGATAATATACCTACACGAATATAAATAATGTTCCAGTGGATCTTTGCTTGAACGGAAGTTCTTAGATTTTGTAAATTTGTAACCATGCTATTTTTATTGTTAAACTTGATAAATTTGTAAATGTGAGTGCCCTGTAACCTATTAAAATTAGTTAGACTAGCAGAATGTCGGTCCATATGTCAGCTTGGAGTTGTCATGCTCACTCAAAGGTCACATTGGCGGTGGCACGGTCACTGGATCGCTCGATTCCCTATATTATGGTTGAGTTGGGCGATGCTGGTGTACGTGTCATGCTCGTGAACGGGCGCCGTCAATTGGGACTGGTCAGCTCCGGACTGTCTATTGTCCTTAAGGTTATTTTCTTTTTATGTTTCTCTGTATACACGCGTTACACTGTTCTCACATATTCAAACTAACTAAATAATGTATCAAAGAATGTTTATGTGACACTGATTTTAAAAGAGTAACCATGGAGTTTCTTGCTCGTTCTTCTCCATCGGAATCTACACTTTGGAACGAGCGAATAGCTTCACTAAAAGGACTGACCGACAGACTGACACTTTGTATCTTTAAAGTTGTGTTGACGTTCAAAAGTGCCTGTATGGGTCTAATTGAAATAAATAATTTTGACTTTGACTTTGACTTTGTGAGAGAATAGAATACTTAAGATCTAAAATCTAGATTCTAGATGGGTATAATATCATAGTAATATTTTAAGCTTCAATTTGACGTTCGTACGATCCAATATAATTTTACGCAACGAGGCCACGATAGCTCCCCAATTCAGTTAAATAAAATAAATAAAAATAAAAATAAAAATAAGAAAGCCTTTTATTTCTTGCTACACACAGTAAATGTACACTTATAATTAAGAAAAAACAAAAAAAGTATCATAAAAAAATATATAGTTATAAAATAAAAACAGTTAAAAGGGTTTTTTTTTATTTCTTTTTTCTGCAAGAACCCCTCTTATTAGTCCAATTCAGTTAATATAAACAAAATTCACTGCAGCCCTGAAATAGACAAGCGACGCGGCGACGTAACGAAAGCGTTTCGAAAGGGGTATTTTAAATCCCTCGACAGCAACATGGACGTATCATTCACACTTATTTCACATCCACTAATTATACCACAGAACAGAAAATCAAGTAGAAGTGCCCCTACACTCTTTCAAAAGGAAAACCAGTGTCGCCAAAATCACACATTCGCAAATCAAATTGTCCATTACACACATAAAAAAATACTATATAATTGGGTAAAAAGTTGTAACGCAACTTTAGCAAATCATCTTCTAAATGTTGTTAAAAATTGAATCTTATAACAATGAGCGAAAGTTGTTATCATTTCACATGTCACAATCAATAAGGGCGTCTATCGCGTAGAAAACTTAAATAAAACTATTTACAAACGGGTTCAGCCACTCAATGCTAGATGGCGCTGTAACAAATTCATTCTATTCAAAACGCTAACTTCTTTGAAATAGATGTCATATTTGCATGCACTTGTACCAATAGACATTACTATTTTGCTACTCAGATAGGGCAGGGTATCCCAATATATCGATATTATTTATTGTATTCGTGTGAGCAATATAATTTATCGACACGATATAACTAGAAATGATCAGTAACGAAAAAGTTTCTAATAGAAAAAAAATAGAAAAATATTAACATTTTTTGAAGATTTAATGTTTTTGGAGATGGTCAAGTTATTATTAAAGATTTCGATTTTAACATATAAAAGCACTACGCGCTCCTACAAGTTTAATCTCCTTTCCAACAAAAATAGAATTATTAAAATCGGTTCATAAATAACAGAGACGAACGAACAAAAAAAACATGTACGGTCAAATTGAGAGTCACTCTCCTTTTTGCAACTCTGTTAAAAATCATGTACAACATTATAAAATAAAAATGGTGATTAACCACCCGCACCTACCACAGACGGATGCACGCTGTGTGTGGTTAAAACGTTGATGTGTCTATGCAATCTTAGTTAAACATTTATAAATTATACTCAAAAATTACAAAAATCAATTTTCTGAACGATGATGATGAAAAATTCTCGATACGAACCTAATTTACGAATGTGTCCCATCCCTAAATGAGTAGCGTTGAAACTACTGGAATATATTGTATATAACGTCACATAACGAACAAGTAGATTTAAACTTAATTGTAATGAAAATAAGGCCCTTTATAGTTTGCATTGAAGTAATGAAATGTGATATTTTCATTAAAATCAAATATATTTAAAATTAACAAAGGTTAATACTCAACGATGATACGATACACCACCAAAAGACA